CTCGTTCAGGGCGAAAACTTCTTTATCTCATTTTCATAAAATAAAATGCTATAGTATTTAACTTTTCCACTCTATCGGCAAATGATGATTCTGAAAGAAAACGCTCCCGATGTCTGTTTGCTATAGCAACGAACGCTACTTCATGCATCTGATAAACCTCGCGCTCTTATTTCAAGGTTGTGGTTAATGCTGTGGTTATTTTAACAGTTTCCTTCGTACATTCAGTTCAATGACATTGTTAAAACACATTTATCATTCAATGGAACTGTGCGTATGCTTTAGACACTTACATTTTGTCCATGCAATAAATGCGCAGCTGCTCGATTGATTCGAATGTCTTCGGTGTGACCGAGAGCCACTGAAAAACTACAGAAAAGTAAAACTACTTCACTTTAGCATTGCTGGCTACGAGTAGCCTACTAAGGAGAGATCACACATCAGCTGCTCAAAAAATGTGTCAGTGAGACGAACTGAGTGCAAGCGCAATCCAGTGACAGTCACAGGCGGTAAATAGTAGATCGTCAGGGTTTGTAATCGATGCATCGATAAAACGAGTGAATCGTTACACCCCTACTAACAAGAAATGACGGGCCAAGTGGTGGCAAAGAATTCAGGATCAGGTTCAATTGTTTAAGCTTTTAATCATCAGGATGTTGCCAGCCCTTCCGTTCAATTGGCAGTTAATATTCAGTGGATGCTCCTAAATTTCTGTTGGTGCTCCTAACTTCTTGAGGTTGGGAGCACCAGTTCTACCAAGTAAACAGAGGCGGACTTACCCATTAGGCAAAGGTAGGCGACCGCCTTGGTCCCCCAAAAGCCAAGGGCCCCCTAAAATGCTTTTCATACACGAGATGTGTATTAAGCGCTGACATGAGAATGGTTGCTTGTCCGAGTTGAACACACTTCTCGTGTATCCTGCTTGTAGCAAATGAAAATATCATGTATCTGAAGCTGTAATTAAATATTGAGCAACAGTGCATATTATATGTTTATTGTTTTAAATGCCGCTTAGCTTACTCATTTGTGAGAAGGACCCAAGTAGAGGACGCATACGCAGTTACTTGTTTGGTTGATATAATCCTTAGGTGTATAAATGTATAATTTCCATTTCATTATTTTTTCATTTTCATTTACATTTGTAGTTAAAATAAGTTTATTTTAAAGTTTAGAATTAGACAGCTTTTGGCACACAGGCTTACGCTGGTAACTCATCAGTGGACTTTCCTCCTCAATATAGGCTATATTTTTCTCATTCTCACTAATTCAAGTTTTTATATGAATGAATCTCTGAAGGGAACCAACTGTCTTCAGAAAAGTTTCGGTGGCATTTTCATTTTATCTGATAAAGTAGCGTTTATGAGCAGCGCTGCTTTGTTTACAGCCATTACCGGGGAAACCACTGTATTTCTGATGTTCCAAAAGCGCTTCCTGCTGGCAGAGAATCAGTGTGCATTTTCAATAATCCCATCTGCAGTTTTTGTTCAGATCGTTTTAAATTATTATCATAATTTATACTTCCGACTCATTTTTTCTTTTAAAAAAAAAGTGCTAAAATTGTGAGCTTTATTATTTTATAATTTATTTTGTTTTTGTGAAAACTGTAAATACAAATGCTATTTTGTGGTCTACAGCATGAAAGAAAGCCATTATAACATGTACATAAAAAATGTAGAAACATTGGACACAACTGTGGGGCACCATTACGCAGCGGCAAGCATCACAACAAAAAAGGAACCTCAAGGCTGATCTAGGTAAATGTGTGCAAATATATATACGGCCCGATTCCTATATTTTGTCAGGGGCCCCCAAATCACTAAATCCACCCCTGCAAGTAAAAAAGTTAATTTCGACCCCTGCACCATGCGGCCACACAGCTTCTTGATGTGACCGTCCCATTTGAGGGGCTGAGGTTTGTTTGACCAACTGCCAAGCAACATTTAACACGCCACACTGAGCATTGACAACATTAAACTGAATAAACTGTAACATTAGATAATGACAAAAGTTCACCACAGTATTACAAATTCTTATAATGCCCTTAAAAAGTATTGTGCCAATACCATGGAGTAGTAATGGTAATACAATGGTATTTTGATATATAAAATGGTACTAGTCCACTTATGGTTCTCCTAAGGTCTAAAGAACCAAGTATTGGTTATTCGTCTAAGGAACCATTAGTATGGTTCATTTCCAAAAACAAGATGGTCCATTTTGTTACTGTAATCTAAATATAACTTACTTTTCAAAGCTGAAGTCTGTGCGCTTTGTTCTTCGAGAAACGTGAACCTAGGTCTGGTATTGGTCTTATATTCTGCTCGTTTGTGAGAGGAGGGTCCGTTAAAACGGTTAACCCGCTCAGTTTCCCGGCTAACTGTCAACACTCGCTTCTCTCTCACATAGGCGCTCTCACCTGTGCAGGTGAAACTGTGCTGAATACGTTGAGAGTAGTTTAAGATATTATAAACTAACGGTTAGTTGTTATAAACGGAGTACAACCTCCCTCACAGACATAAAATCCTAGAGCGAGGGGTAACGTTAACTGACTGAGACTTAAGAGGCGCGTGAAGCTTTTTTGGTCTGTCACCATGGTAACCTCTGGTACAAGCCATGGAAATCTAGCTCCCCGCGAAAACAAACAAACCCCGGCACAGTCAACATATTCAAATATCTCAAGTCTGGTTAATATATTTGTAATAAAGAAAATAATTTAGAAGCTAAATCTCACATTAGCTCAATAGTCTGTTATTCTATTTTTACATACGGGCTTGGTGTTCCTAAATTTGTCCACCTGACACAAAGGCATCTGACCGGTGCATCACTCTATCACATAGTACGAACCATTTCTTCCACCTTCGAGCGTTCCAGATTTAAAATGGTGTCAATAATAATAAAATTCGAGCAAAACTTTCATAATTTAGTGGTAATTCACTCCGGGATACGAAATAGGTTGATATTTGTTGAAATAACTTTGAATGTCTTTAGTGAGGGAGCTAGCAAGCTAACAGAAGTTGAGAGGGAGAAACAACTGCACGAGCACAGCCAGCAAGCTGTTTTACCGAACAGCCAGGAAACTTACCTTGAACGTTGAGACGATCTATTACTGGAACATGAAAATAATTCCCATATGAAGTTTATTAAAATCCAAGATAAAGTGTCAATGCGTAGTGTACTTTCTACTCAGAGTAACCGCCTCTCTAGTCGCGGCCATCTTTTTTACCCCATATCCTCCAAGCAAACAGGCGGATGGATACCGCTCTCATTTTCATTAAACCGTCATTTAATGTAAATTTCTTTCTATTTATTACATCTTTTGACATTTAAAGCTGTACGTTTCTATTTTAAGACGATACCCTTTTAAAAAAGCTAAGCTAGCTTACAAACTGAGGCCATACATGAGTGGCACTATTTTACTTCTCGGAAGCATTTGGAACAGTTGGAGAAGTTGTGCGCAATGTCTAAAAAGTACAGAATGCAGAGAAATGTGACTGATGAAATGATGGTGATGAGTGAATCCCAGTAAAAAGAAATGATAAACAAGGAAAAATATTTATTACAAATATTAAATAAATATTTTTTTCAATTAAATATTTCTGGTTTGATGGATTCAATGTCAAAGAAACGTTCCCCCGGTTTCACAGACAAGGCTTAAACCAAGTCCCAGACTAAAATGTAAATCTGAGCTGTGCCAACTTAAAGAAACTTGCACTGACTGATCTTGACATTTAAAGCTGTACGTTTCTATTTTAAGACGATACCCTTTTAAAAAAGCTAAGCTAGCTTACAAACTGAGGCCATACATGAGTGGCACTATTTTACTTCTCGGAAGCATTTGGAACAGTTGGAGAAGTTGTGCGCAATGTCTTAAAAGTACAGAATGCAGAGAAATGTGACTGATGAAATGATGGTGATGAGTGAATCCCAGTAAAAATAAATAATAAACAAGGAAAAATATGTTTCACAGATAAGGCTTAAGCCTAGTCCTAGACTAAAATGTAAGTCTGAGCTGTTTCAATTGAAAGAAACTTGCACTGACTCATCTCAAAATATATCAGTGCCTGTGTTTTGTCTTAAGATGCACACCAGTAATGTTTTTTTCTAAGCACGTTTATAAAAAATTACTTAAATGTCCTAATTGAACTATGGCCTAATCCTGGTTTAGTCTAAACCCTGTCTGTGAAACCAGGCTGTTATATTATGTCATGAAAAATGTACACATAGGTCCCTGGGAGACAATTTCAAGGGCGAAAACCCCAGTATAATTGCAAGGTTAAAAATGTTAGCATAACAATAGTTCATACGTTGAGAAGTGCATGGACAACCTGTTTTGAAATAGGCTAAGAAATATAAAGGAGTTGGATCTGGATCCAACCACGCCCCCTGGATCTTGTGTTCTGCAGCGAAGACCATCTCTCAGAGTAAGCTGAAGCGATAGTCCACTCCAAATGTAGTCTGTCATCATTTACTCATCCTCATGTTGCTTTAAACCTGTGTGACTGTCTTTCTTCTCTGGAACACAAAAGAAGATATTTTTAAAAATGTTGTTTTGGTTCCCATTGGCTTACAAAAACCACAACAGAAGTATGAAAAAAATGAAAACATTCTATTTATTTATTAAGGGGGTTGTGGAATAAAGAACAATGATAATAATTCTATATAAGAATTATATAGGAAGTATAACCCCCATGCTATCTTGGTCAAACTGTAAGATAAAACTGAGTGGGAGGCTAAATTCATCATATAGATTCACAAACATCTTTTTGTCATAATTTGACTTACATTTTCTCTGTGTATATCTGAAGTACCTATTTAAACAAATTCTAAACTTAAACTTGTGTTTATTTTAAATAAAACTGTTTATTTTATTATTTGTGTTTGCATTAAAATAAACAATACAAAATAGGATAATGTAATGCATTAATTAAAAAAATACAATAAAATAAAGCAAAGAAGGGCACTGCGGTTGAGATGGGACACATTCACACCTAAAGCATTCTGGATGTGAGGGCCACTGGATACAGTTTAGGAGAGAAGTAAATACATTCCACAACAGAGATCTGGATCTACAGTATATGCACTCCATTTAAACGGTGAGGTTGAGATTTAAGCTTCTTTCCTGAACTGTCTTTTTTCTTTTCTGTATAAATGCTCTAAAAATTCAATCCAAGCAAACAGAGGACTTCTGTTTTCCATCTTTTTTGGAAATACCATATAGTGTTCTTGTGAGCATACAAAGAAAAGGACAGCTTTACATCTTTTACTTACTATGCACAGACCATTTTAATAAAAAAAAAAAAAAAAGGATAACAGAGCACAAGTAACAGAAAATGGCAGTCCGAGGAAGAGATACTCTATGTACAAGCCCTGAGGTATGTTCTCTCCTCAGAGAAAATTCTGTGTATGTTCGAGATTAAAGGGGAAAAAAAAAAAAAGTGAGGGAGAGACAGACATTAAAGAACAAACAAGCGTGTAACTGAACAAGGCAATTCCTTGATCTAGAAGTGCAACTGTGCATCACTGTCTTTAACTGTAGAGGGAACATTCATGAACTTTACAAGTCTTTACAAACTGTACAAGTCCTATTATAGGAATAAAATGGTCAAAAGGTCCATAGGTGCCTCTGAGTGAGTGTGGTCAGAGTTCAGAGGTTATCTGGGTGATATTGGGGTTGTGGAGGAGGAGGCAGGGTTTTGGGGAGAGTGGAAGGGGGAGGAGGGTGAGAGATGTAGAGGGCTGCAAAGGTCCCCGTTGTGTAGTTTCCACAGCAACTCCTCGTTCTCCATAGATAGCCGTTTGTTGACCTTTGACTCTTTCTGTAGGGTCTGCTGAAGCATGGCCTGCTCTGTGGAGAGCTGTCTACAGTCAAACATGAAAAAAAAAAGATTTGAAATCTTCTACTTTGATCATTTAATACACTAATATTAGAAACAAACTGCTGTGCTGGATCCCAGAAGAACTCAAAGGAGCAGATGACAAATTAAGCTCGACTTACTTTGAAAGTGCAGCATGTTTGTCCATCCTAGCCTTGTAGTCCTCGTTCTCCTGCTGGACTTTCTTTAAACACTCTTCTAGTTTCAAATTATCGTCAATCTGTGAACAATGATAAAAACGTTAATGTATTATTTATTAATCAAAAACACATCATACCAGTGGTAAACCCAAAGTTAAGTTAAAAATTACAATTGCTCTATGTTAGAGAGTTTAAATATGGCAAGTTACAACAGGACTACAGTACTAGCCTTAAAGGGATAGTTCACACAAAAATGAAACATTTCTCTATTATGCAGAACACACAGAAGAAAAGATATTTTAAATTTCTCTGCATTTTGTGCATACAATGAAAGTCATTTGGGCCCAATGTCATTTTGAACTTAAATGAAATTCATTTTATAGACAAAAACATTCTTCAAAATTCTTTTTTTGCGTTTCACAGTCAAAAGAAAAGGGTTTGGGTTAGTTTAAAAGGAAGAGTAAATCATTTTTGGGTGAACTATCCTTTGAGGCATCATTTTGGATCAATCAGTAAATATCTGACAGTGTCAAAAATTATGTAATGGGAATAAAAGGAAGCTACTTGACATGAAGGCAGTTGACCTGGCAAAGGCTAATTATAGATACAGCGACACAGGAAAATCTAACCAGAATGTCATGGGCTCACAATGCCATGAAGAGGCTACTGGGGCATCTAAGGCATATTTATGCATTATATCTGTGCATATTCTCACCAGTTTGTCCATCTGCATGAGCTTCTTGCCTTGCTGGTGTATCTGGTAGGTCTTTATTTCCAGCACGGCTCTGAGACTCTCCAGCTCCTGTTCCAAATACAGCGTGTGGGCGTCCTTCTGCACACAGAGAAACAGGTGCTCAGTTTGGGTTTCACGCCATCTGGGACTACAAAGTAGTACACGGAGCATCTCTACGGGTCACAGGCTTAGTATGTAACTAGCTTTACATGGTCAAGATGGTTAATCAGACGTCCCACTTCGCAGAAGAACTACGCAAATTTAAACATTTCTGATGTACTGTATTAGAAAGCAGTTCCTGGTGTCAGCGTTGTTATTTTTAACTAAAATTAAAACTATTAAAAGTCATTTTTGTTCATTTAAATAAAGCTGAATTCAAATAAAATATAAATAATAGATGAAAAACTTGAGCAAAAAATAGAAATGCCTTGTAAACTACGAGAAATAAAATAAACTGAAGTATTAAAATTACTCAAATTAAAATGAACTTAAGCCAAGTAGAAAAAACAAACAAAATTACTTAAATTAAAAATGAAAACCAAAAATATGAAAATAAAAGCCAAGTCAAAATATTAATAATTATAATAGAATATTACCAGTAGTTTTGGGCTTGGGCTTGTCATACAAAATATATAAATAAAATCAGTAAAAAAAGGATTTAGATTCAATAACACCAACTGTTAACCAGCCCTGTGGTTATACTGAGAATAATACATATAATTGCATATGTCTTGCAAATTTTACCTGACTTTTGTCTGCTAGAGCTCTCCTCCGTTTCTCCTCTTCTCTGATTCTTTCTTTCAAAGCCTCGTTTTCTTCTGTCAAAGTCTGAATTTTCTCCTGTAACAGTGATTAAATAAACAATTACCAAACATTTTCAATTTGCAAATTAAGTAAATAACTGAATGCTATACATTTCGAAGTTAAAAAGTGAGTTTGTTCATATTTAAGTTAGACGGTGATGCATACATTGAGCGTGGCTTCAGACTCTTTGAGTGTTTTATCAAGTTCTTGCATGTCCTGTTCATGAATCTTCCTGAGCTCTGGAAAAGGAAAAAAAACTCAAATTGATCCTCCTCGTCTGACAGAAAGATTAGCTCAAATTCAAAATATAGTGCATTAGATGAAAGGATAAACAATAGGCCTTTTGATGACTGCAGTGAAATGACCTGCAAGTGACGCCTCATGTTCCTGTTTCAGTGTTGCTATCTGCTGAGTGTGTGCCACTTCCTGTTGGTTCCTCAGTGCTTCTTGTTTGTTCCTCACATCCTCCACCTGTAAGTGGAAACCATACTCGTCATCATCATCATCATCATATAACAATAAAAACATGTACTTTTTTTTTTGCTTAAGTTGCACTGGTTGGTATTGCAGAGCATTATGTAAAAATATGTTGTCAGTAACTGGTGCCATTTATTCATGATTAATTTAAACAGACAAACATAAAAAAAAAAAATAAAAAAAAATGGTG